AAAAAGCACACTTCTTCTAAAACACTCTTCTTCTGTGATTGTTAAAAGGTGTTCCCTGGTCACGGGAAAGTTGAAATAAAATTTCTAGGTCACTTACTTTGGGTGAAGTTAAGCAATGAAGTTCTAATGACAGAATCACACCGTGAGAGCTGGTGAGGCGACCGCTGGCCCGGCTGCTCCAGGATTTACGCCAGGGAGGATTCTGAGAGCATTTTATATTATTTTTATATTTTAAATGGTTTTCAATGTTTTTTTCAGTGGAATTATCTTTTAGGATGTTAATAGTGGAATTTATATAACAGAACTTGTGGAATATCAGTATGCTCAAGTATATCTCTGTCACTAATATGCCCAACACATTATGTTTTTGAATAATAAAAGTTACTGGTTTTGCAGTTAACACAATGAACGCAAATGTTATATATATAACTTTAGACATCTGTGTGCGCATTACCAGCCACTGAGAGCTTCAGTACCAGCCACTGAGAGCTTCAGTACCAGCCACTGAGAGCTTCAGTACCAGCCACTGAGAGCTTCAGTACCAGCCACTGAGAGCTTCAGTACCAGCCACTGAGAGCTTCAGTACCAGCCACTGAGAGCTTCAGTACCAGCCACTGAGAGCTTCAGTACCAGCCACTGAGAGCTTCAGAAGAGTGATACTGTAGTAACTAGTGTGCTCTATAGTCGTAATGGCTTGGCGCTTTCTCCTGATAGATCTGTTATGTTCTGTAGTAACCAGTGACTTAAGCACGCCTCAGCCAAGTTGTAACTTAAGCACGCCTCAGCCAAGTTGTAACTTAAGCACGCCTCAGCCAAGTTGTAACTTAAGCACGCCTCAGCCAAGTTGTAACTTAAGCACGCCTCAGCCAAGTTGTAACTACACAATTTGTGTGTATTTTCTTTTCTTTATATTTTTTAATATCTTTAACATGTTTTTCACAGCATTGATGCCTTGGTCGTCAATAATGTATTTACAACACAGATATATCGAATCACTTATATTTGTACCACAATATAACATTATAAAGATATAACATAATATTTTTGTTGTTATGACAATTTATTCACCCATCATATGTAACTGTCTACATGTTTGTGCACTATTACGACCCACTAAACACTTCTTGTTAGTGTGATAATCAGTGAACCTGTTATCCAAGCACAGTGCCTGGTCCTTCATTCACAGTGCTTGAATCACTATACCAGATATCACTATACACACAACAAACACTATCTTCATTATCATCAGAATCCTTGTCACTAAATCCTGAACATCACCAATTTTCCCAAACAAACTTGAAGTTCCATTGCATGATGCACACACGCACCAACCTGCGCCTGTGTATTCACCTAGTTGTGCTTGCGGGGGTTGAGCTCTGCTCTTTCGGCCCGCCTCTCAACTGTCAATCAACTGTTTCTTCTACTACTACTATTACTACTAATTTTTTTCCCCACACCACACCCACACACCCCAGGAAGCAGCCCGTGACAGCTGACTAACTCCCAGGTACCTTTTTACTGCTAGGTAACAGGGGCATAGGGTGAAAAAAACTCTGCCCATCGTTTCTCCCGGGCGCCTGGGATCGAACCCGGGATCACAGGATCACGTGTCAGTGTGCTGTCCGATCGGCCGGCCGGCTCGCAATTATGTGTGCTGTGGTGGTAGAGCTCAGAGCTCCCACTGAGACCTTTACTCACTGTGTCGCTGACACCTGAACCTGGTGCACAGTCTTGGCCACAGTAACGATCTACCATCACTAGCATTGTAAAATCCTTGTATATTCTTATATAACTGATCGTTTCGGTCAGTCCTGGACCATTACCAAGTCGGGTAACAGAAGAGAGGAAGGCACTGGTAACTTAATAAGATAAGAGAGTGAGAAGGAAGGTGAGGGGGCAGGTTTTTATTATTATTATTATTATTATTATTATTATTATTATTATTATTATTTTTATTATTTCCTACCCCAGACTTGGCCACACATTTACAATGCTAACCAGCATATATACATTTCCACCTGTCCTCCATGGACAGGGTGAGAGATCTGTTAAACATATAATTCAGTGTTTTATTGAACAATTAACCACAGAAGGTGATTGTAGTGTTTTTAAAATGTGAGGAGCAGGTAAGAGAAAGGTAAGAATATGAGGAATGTAAGAATATTGAAGGAACAGGAAGAATGAAAAAATATTGTAGAATAGGATGAATGTAAGACTATTGTAGGAATAATAAGAATGTAAGGGAAAGGTAAGAATAAGAGGAAAGGTAAGAATAAGAAAAGTGGGTTGGTATAAGCAACAGGGAGCAAAGCTTAAGTCAGGTCACGTTTGTTAAGAAGGTTGGAGCATTTGAGTATATACTGTGGTAAGGAAGAGTCAACAGCAACACAGCCAGGACTCAGGTTCATGTATTTGAAGGTTGTGTATCAGAGCCGAGTCAACAAGACGGCGTCTGTGTAGAGTAGAGGCAGGAAAGATTATTTTGGAGGAAGACCAATCAATAGGATTATTAGAATCCCTAACATGACAGAACAGATCTTCGTTTGTGTCTGCAGACTTAACACTTCTTTTGTGTTCCTTAAGTCTGTCATTTAGCGTACGGCCAGTTTCACCAAAGTATTGGAGAGGACAAGACGAACAAGAAATATTGTTGACACCAGCAGCATTAGAAGCAGGAGGAGCAGTGTGAACCAGATCACTACGAAGAGGTCTTCCTACAAATTTCCCAAGATCCATTATGACAGCAATTGAAGAATTAATATTTGATATTTAGTGACTCCAGGTCCTGATCAACATCCCAGTCAGGAGCATGAACGCTTTTATGCAACGCATAATTCATCTTTTATTGCTCAAGAAAAACACCTGGAAGAGTAATTACTGGTATTTCGGTTCATAGCTAAACGAGAATCGAAGCGAGTAACAAAATGCTTTAAAACTACATATATTATGTTTTTCACAAGAAAAATAAACTACAAGGAGAAATATTTTTACTGGTTACAGTATAGCAATTCTCTGTACAGGGCGAGTATCTCATAGCAACTGAGATATCAACCCCACTCGACCATCTCTTAACCTGCACTCTTAGCTGTGGCATCACCCGCTCTGAGGAGTCAGATGTGAAGGGGGTACCACACTTGAAATGCTGACATGCACATTATTATGCGACACTAATATAAACATTCTTGGCACAGGACATTTGCTTAACACATATATTCATCCATCCAGCTGAAAGAGTGTATCTGTGACGGTATCGACACTGTCGCTGGAATATGGCGTGGCGATTTCAGTGCCATCTTTTGGTTTGCACTCCCTCTCCCCTGTATTGGGTACAACGCAGACAACGCCATCTGTTGGTGGTGGCGTGGTATCGGAGATGGCTCCTGTTTCCTGACTTGGTTAGAAGAGGATGTCGACGATGATGACCTCTGGTGGGTGGCGTATTGAGAACAACGTCATCTAGGTTGTGGCTACAATTTAAAATGTCAATTCCCCGGTGGAAGGGTGTTATCCGAGGGTCACCCAGAATACTGTCCCTCTAGCTAATGACGTTTTATGTTCACAGAGGTGACATAAGGAGGCGATTGCGTCGAGGAGGGCAGTTCACTTTGGGCAGTTCAAGAACGCTTGACTTGGTCCTGTGAGAGGACAAAGTAGCAGTCGTTGGTTATAGCAGTGTGTTAGCTGCTGGTTTATGCAATGTTGGATGGGGCGACGTACCTGGGATTCGCCAAGAAAAGTTACACGACGCCAGTGGTGCGTCTGTTGAGAAGTGCTGTTAACGAGCTGCTAGAGATTTCTGCTTGGGTGTTGGCTACCTCTGTATGTGAGTGTTTGAGACCCCTGTCAGCGTGTTGCTGAAACGCTTCTGCCAGTGTGTATCTGGAGAGCGGAGGCGGGGTTTTGGCACATCGTGGCGATACGAGGTGTGTGGACTGGCCCATGTTGAAGGTGCACTCACCGGTGTTTGCCATTAGGTGTGGACGACGTGTACCTGGAAAGTGGATTCACAGAGATTTGATGAACACTGCTGATGTGTTGTGTCCTGAGTGAGACACTTTGTAAATATGAGTAGTAATACATTAATTTAATACATATAGTGGTGAAGGTGTTAATATATTGGTAAAGGTGTAATTGTGTGTTGTTTGTTCCCCACCTTTTTACTCTTTGCACTACTACTTGCCACAGCCAGTTCTTGAAAACTTGTCACAGACTTCGGGTTGGATAAGGATGAAGAGGTTATAACAGCAAGAACCCAGTTACTGGCCCCAAGTGGCCGTAACAGTATCTAAACTACAAAAACATTTAATAATTAAAATTACTTACAAATGTGAAATTAGTGTTTACCTCCCATGCTCAATAATTAAAAATCGTCAATTAAGATTTTTTTTTCATGGCACAATAAATGGAAAAATTGTCACAACTAAGTGACAAACTAAATAAAATTGAAATAGTACTTATGAAAAATGCAAAGTGCAAACAAATACAAAAGCAATACGACTAAGCACAAAACGGTAATTAATTTATAATTCAATAAATAATGAACATGCACAATGGTTAAATAAATAGAGTGCATGCAAAATATTTCAAAATGGATCCAAAATGGGCCAATAAATAAAATGAGTGTCCTGATCGAGACTGAAAACTCCCCCACTTAGTTGATAGTGTCACTTCCATACTGTGGCCATGACCTTGAGCATACCAAGAACTAGTATACCACTACGCTAGGCGGGAGCCTAGTGTCAGCTACACCTTTAACTATCCTTGTTGAATGTCCTGACTTCCAGGACGAGCGTGTGTCTTGTTTTCCGACCGCCCCTCGCGGTCACCTGTCCCTCGATAGAATTCTTGGTGACTCGGATACTTTTGATATCGTTCGCCTTGTGCGTTTTTATTCTCGTATTGGCATCCTTGGTGATATTTAGCGCCCTCTGATTAATCCGCACATTTGATGGTGCTACACAGGCTCCCCGGTTTGGTGCCTTCTTTTGATAATTACTTACTTCCTTCCCAGCCTATAAAGGGTCTTGCAATTGTGGATAGACGCACACCCCAAAAGCAGCTGGCGAAGGCTGCACCACGTGCATACAGATGTGTAACACCTGTGAGGTTGACAAAGGATGGCAGCCAAGAATTAGGAGCCTTCATATCACCTAACACGTGAGACAAACGAACAACAGACTATGATAATTTTTAATTGAAGAGCAACACATGACACAGGCAGAGTCCACTGCATTAGGCCAGTTATTCAGTAACATCAGTTATTCAGAGAATATTCATGTTAGTGTAACACAATATTGTACATGCCAACAATTGTGGCCCGTCTCCACACCCCAGCACCCCAGTAAAGGTGTAGCCAACACACATGGGGCCCGTCACCACACTCCAGCACCCCAGTAAGGGTGTAGGCAACACACATGTGGCCCGTCTCCACACCCCAGCACCCCAGTAAGGGTGTAGCCAACACACATGTGGCCCGTCTCCACACTCCAGCACCCCAGTTAGGGTGTAGCCAACACACATGTGGCCCGTCACCACACCCCAGCACCCCAGTAAGGGTGTAGCCAACACACATGTGGCCCGTCTCCACACCCCAGCACCCCAGTAAAGGTGTAGCCAACACACATGTGACCCATCACCACACCCCAGCACCCCAGTAAGGGTGTAGCCAACACACATGGGGCCCGTCTCCACACCCCAGCACCCCAGTAAAGGTGTAGCCAACACACATGTGACCCATCACCACACCCCAGCACCCCAGTAAGGGTGTAGCCAACACACATGGGGCCCGTCTCCACACCCCAGCACCCCAGTAAAGGTGTAGCCAACACACCTGTGGCCCGTCACCACACTCCAGCACCCCAGTAAGGGTGTAGCCAACACACATGTGGCCCGTCTCCACACCCCAGCACCCCAGTAAAGGTGTAGCCAACACACCTGTGGCCCGTCTCCACACCCCAGCACCCCAGTAAAGGTGTAGCCAACACACCTGTGGCCCGTCTCCACACCCCAGCACCCCAGTAAAGGTGTAGCCAACACACATGTGGCCCGTCACCACACTCCAGCACCCCAGTAAGGGTGTAGCCAACACACATGTGGCCCGTCTCCACACACCAGCACCCCAGTAAGGGTGTAACCAGCACACATGTGGCCCGTCTCCACACCCCAGCACCCCAGTAAGGGTGTAGCCAACACACATGTGGCCCGTCTGCACACCCCAGCACCCCAGTAAGGGTGTAGCCAACACACATGTGGCCCGTCTGCACACCCCAGCACCCCAGTAAGGGTGTAGCCAACACACATGTGGCCCGTCACCACACTCCAGCACCCCAGTAAGGGTGTAGCCAACACACATGTGGCCCGTCTCCACACCCCAGTAAGGGTGTAGCCAACACACATGTGGCCTGTCTCCACACCCCAGTAAGGGTGTAGCCAACACACATGGGACCCGTCTCCACACCCCAGCACCCCAGTAAGGGTGTAGCCAACACACATGTGGCCCGTCTACACACCCCAGCACCCCAGTAAGGGTGTAGCCAACACACATGTGGCCCGTCTCCACACCCCAGCACCCCAGTAAGGGTGTAGCCAACACACATGTGGCCCGTCTCCACACCCCAGCACCCCAGTAAGGGTGTAGCCAACACACAGGGTGCAGACACTGAGGCGCTGGCACATGTTTCCAAACTCTCTTTGTTAGAATGAGAGTTTAATACGTGGTGAATAATATGTTTTCCAGGCTTTGTATTTTTCTTTTATTTCTTGTGCTAAACTATATATTTGAAGCGTGTTTCAAAATTACAAAGTTATTGTTTTACCTTTTTTAATATATATATTATCACTGTTATTGTGTATGTGTTGCATTTTTATATTATTGTTTATTGTATGTTATTTAATTTTTGAAATCCTTCTTTTTTTATAAAATATTTTATATCCTCCTATTATAGTTAAGCAAGGTGAGTAGTTAAGCAAGGGGGAGTAGTTAAAGGAGAAGTTAAGCAAAGGGGGAGTAGTTAAGCAAGGTGGGTAGTTAAGCAAAAGGAGAGTAGTTAAGCAAGGTAAGTAGTTAAGCAAGGTGGGTAGTTAAACACGGTGAGTAGTTAAGCAAGGTGGGTAGTTAAGGTGAGTAGTTAAGCACGGTGGGAAGTTAAGCAAGGTGAGTAGTTAAACACGGTGAGTAGTTAAGCAAGGTGAGTAGTTAAGCAAGGTGGGTAGTTAAGCACGGTGGGTAGTTAAGCAAGGTGGGTAGTTAAGCAATGTGTGTAGTTAAGCATTAGGACTGACCAGTAATAAATATACAAATAGTCTAGTATGAGTCGATGAAGAATGTTCTGGACATTTTCTGTCGCCAGAATGTTCTGGATCATCCAAGGGCGCTGGGACTCTGCTGTGACCCGGGGTCTTGGGCGTGCCCCGGGATGGTGGTGGACGTGCCCCAGGGTGGTGGTGAACGTGCCCCAGGGTGGTGGTGGACGTGCCCCAGGGTGGTGGTGGACGTGCCCCAGGGTGGTGGTGGACGTGCCCCAGGGTGGTGGTGGACGTGCCCCAGGGTGGTGGTGGACGTGCCCCAGGGTGGTGGTGGACGTGCCCCAGGGTGGTGGTGGACGTGCCCCGGGGTGGTGGTGGATGTGCCCCGGGGTGGTGGTGGGCGTGCCCCAGGGTGGTGGGCGTGCCCCCGGGTCGTGGGCATGCTCGATTTGGGAAATTTTACCCACCAAATCTAATAATCATCTAAGAAATGTATAATTTCTATATCATATCTATATCATATCTAAATCATATCAAAATCATATCAAATCGTATCAAAATCATATCCGAATCATAATAGACTCATTATTCCACTTGATCCTAGAGGACAATGCCACTTGATCAAGTACGCCATAGGGCCCTATAGATGCCTATGTGACTTTGTGCATGATCTCTCAAGGATCCAGAAGCTTCTAGAAGGATTTCTTAATTAAAAAACTATTGGAACATTAATCGCTTCCGGTAGAAATTAAAAATTGAATCCTTAATAAGAAACAGTGGTACTATCAAGTACTACTTATAATCTTTAAATCCTATATCTAATTATATTATAATCACATCTTATCTCAATCATATGTCTAGACAGTAAAAATAATCAATATTCATTGAAAGCTACCTCTCAAGGGAAAGGGGGGGGGGGGCATCTTGGGAACAAGGAGCACCCACGACCATACCTCGCGGCACTACGGGGGACTACGTGTTTGTTTACAACACAGTGAACAAGTGTGGCGGATCCTTAGCGAACATTACTTGGCTTAGGACACCTTATCTAGGTATCTTTATCACCAGTGAATACTCTCTAGAACTGGGGGAGTACTTGGACAATATCTACAAAGAAAACCCTAGAACATTTATATCTATAAGCGTAGAGTGGAGCACACAGTGACTTGTCTCCACCTTCACCACTATCATTTTAACTGCAACGCAGTTAAAGAAAAATCCACGTAGCAACGCTACAACTACAATCTACAGCAAAGCTGTTATATAAAATATCGTGCCTATACTCGCGACAAGAGAGTTATCAGTCTGGCACACTGTCAGACAGGCACTCCGGCATTCAGAGAAGTATATTGAAGGTTATTTGGGTATATAGTTGGCCAATTGTATGCTTGTGTGACTTTAATATTCTATAACTCTGTCTGTCGGTTATAAAGCAAGGCAACGCCTCATACCTAAGTAAGTTTATTTATATAATAGAGCAGCAGTAGAATCTTTATGCAAGCACTAGACCTCAAGCGTGTCCATTATGTGAGAAAAGATTCAACCACAATAAGTAAACAAGACCTCATAAGTGTCCATGGTGTTGGAAGAGATTCAGTCAGGCTGACTGTACCTAATCATAAATTGAATATAAATACATTGCATATATACTTGAATATATAAATTAAATTAACAATTGCTTGCTTAGTTATTTTTTAAGTTATCATATAAGTTCATTTAATTGAATAATTTCTAGTACTTAGTTAACAGTACTTAGACTACATTTAAAGTCATTTATCATACTTTTACAATTTAAATTGTTGTTTATAGTACAAGAACATATTGGCTGTTAATAGTTATGGTGCTAGGCTAGACTATGTACATGTTTAAATCTCTGATTTAAACAGAGCCAGTGTTCAGTCATATAACTGAATTTATTAAATCTTATCCTTGTATAAAATACAAGCTGATGTAAGATCCCTGTCTACAGGTGGACTGGAACTTCTATCAACTAATTCATTCACCCCACCTGTCCCTTACAGCCCACAATCTGTCATTAGGAAAAGAGTAGCTAGGATTTATAACCCTATCTAGAGATTTTAGTTGAATTAATTTGCAGACAGTAATTTTTTAATTTAGTTCAGTACAAATCCCTGGTAGTCTCCTCTTATATCAATCCCAGCAGGTTTTCCCCACATTTTTGGTCCTTTGAACCTTGATATTTTTGGTCTTTTAAACCTAGATAGTCTAGAAATTATATTATATTTCAATAGCAAATACATAAGAAACTAATTGATTTTGCATTGGAATAATTTTTACATATTCTAACCTAACCTAGCTAACAGCCAATATTTATCATAGCTATATATTTAAGTAAACAAATTGTTTGCAGTTGCTAAAGCCACCATATCCATTAACTAGTAAGCATTCATAGCATACTAATACTGTTCTGTGTTAAGAAACCACAGTACTTATTTAATATCTGTGTCACAGACACAACTGCATCTTAATCATATATACCATTACCTACCTCACTTGTGGTAACATTATATACATAGTTAAGTGTATTATCTAGCATTATCTCTAATCAACTGATTTTCAGAGCTGCTCATTACATAATATTATTTAAAAGTGTTTTTATCACTCTAAGAGCATTTCATTACAATCTGACCATAATCAACTGTATACACCCTATTACAGGTAAAACCAGTAGGCATTCTACTGTATTTTATCAAACAACTATTAGGGAAACAGATCTTGTAATAACTTTGCAAAAATAGTGTCATTTACTATTTTTTTTAAATTATTACAGGCTTTACAAAGTTCGTGCATTCAGGTCACAAACCAAATTATTACAGTACTTTTGATAATTGAACACCTGCTACATCCAGATTCCAGGAAGGAAATGAAGGACGATCTTT